TTATTTTATTTTCGGATGCTACAAACGGCACAGTCTCTGTTGACATACTACACATTTATCATTCAGCCCAACAAACAATTTGAATAAGTTGTGACGATGCACTTGAAGCATACAGAACACATTAATTCTTTACTGATGAGTGGGAAGCTTAGACTGCATTGAAAAACTAGAGAATCACCATTGATGATTAATGATTAATGATTCATGATTCATTTTATCATCAATGAAACAGCAACTCTTTATTTGATGTTTATCTTTGTTTATGTAAAACTGAAAGTTGTCTCAATTAACATCATCAGGGATTTGATACTTTTAATTTTTTGTATAGAAATTCTCTGTAAATACTACTACTGCTACCACTAATAATAATAATAATAATAATAATAATAATAATAATAATAGTTGACTTGCTGTAATATTACAAGAAATGCATCATTTTGTGATTTTCAGGCCATTACAGCATTTATCATCAGTAATAACACTAGAAGTTCAATAACCATTACTTGAATTAAATAAATGTAACATTGGCATCTTACATAATATGGTACATAATTTGTTATTCACTTTTAGGTACATAACAAATCATGTAACTAAAAGTGAAGTTTTCAAAGAAGTTCACTATGAGCACAAGCAATTTTCAGATATGTAATGGTAGACAACATCAAAGTAAGGAAGGAAGAATAGCAGCAACAGAGCTGTCAGGAATGATCAAGACGGTGCCAAGAAATGAGTCTAACCGCTGCGCTTGATTCCCACCCACTTTGACAAAGGCCACAACCATGTCACCGCAATGTCATTGCATGAGAACAAAAAAAATGTGTTTGATCGAGTTGGACAATTGCTGATTGAGGCCAACTTTAAACCTATCTAGCATGTTAGATCGCTACAACCAAGTTTCTGTAGTTCAAACGTGGGCTTGTTTGATTTCATTCAACAGTGTCTCTGTTAGTGATACAAGCCTTTCACCCTTGAGACAAAATATCAGAGAGGAAGTAAGAACATTCTACCGCGGAAATCCCCCCCTCCTCCCCCTTCAATTTCTTTATCCCGCCCCCAAACACCACCACCACATCATCTCCAAGCATCCCCCCCAAATGCTCCCTTTCCCCCTTCTAGTAGTAACAAGCAGTGCCACGTGTTTCCTGCTGCCGTTAAAATAACAGCTCCTTAACATCACTTAGTTAGCAGAGCAATCATCACCCTTACATCAAACCGAGACCGCCGGCTGTACGCTTTGTCTCCCTTTAACATCAGCCGCTCGACGCGCAACGAGGTAAAAGACAAAGTTGCTCCTTAATGACTCCACGTTAAAAGACCACTGAGGTGAAAAACTGAAACACAACCTACTTTGTCTTTTGTCGGTCGTTAGGAGATCTGGCCGTGTAGAGGTGATCCTGCCACCTGGTCGCACTCTGCACTGTGTACAAGTTTTTCCGCCAGTTTTGGCTTATTGGAAGTTGCATCACCTTGGTTTTCTCGTCCACACCCCGGCGTCTGTCACCGCCTGGCCAACAGCAGCTCCTCCTTTTTTTCTTTCTTTCGCTTTACTCCAAAATCGGCGACCATGTGGGGCACACTGACTGAAACGACCTGTCAGAGGCTCTTATTGATGCGGGTTACTGCGTCAGTTTGGCGGTTCTACCCTGTATCTGCTCACTGTAGTGCGTGGTCAGCTTCAGACACCCACCAATTACGCGTTTAAGTATCGATCCCGAACAGCACGTGCCTTTTCTATATATGAATAAAAGCCCTTATATGGTGACTAGAAGCCAAACTTGGGTGCCATGGAAACATTGTAGATTACTACTGGAGCATTTAAACTGCTGTGACACGACGTAGGTGCCTGTCACCCCCTCCCCCTCGACATAATGCATAATTAGTGAAGCTACACGTGTTCAGCGGTGTGCTGAACGCTTTCTCTTTTGTTACACTGCAGCGGTTCCTCTCGCAGATCAGTGTGATTGTGACTCACCGCATGTGCGTGTTTTCTGACATTTTGTATGTAGTGTGTTCTGATGAAGAAGCGAATTGAGCCCAATAAAGGCAGAGGTAATGAGTCCATGCGATGCCCCAGACAGGTGCGGTAGCCTATAGGCTGTGTAGTGCAGTAAGCCACTGCTGATAGAATGAAGCCTCTGGGCGTCCACAGAAAACATGATGGGTGTGTGGCGGATGATAAGACGCAGCTGAAGAATGAATGATAATACTCCGGAGGGGTTTTTTTTGAATGGCATGCAGATATGGGCTTTACCTTCTACCTTGCTTCTGGAGAGATCAGATTGGAGGCTCGTTAGGTTTAACGCCGAGGAGAAAGCAGGCACGCCGGCATGTGCTGGTCAGAGGCTGGAGTGAGAGGAGGGAGGTGAGGGTTTTCCTACAGTTGGGGTGGTAAACCACATTTTGGTGAAGATGTTCATGTTGAACGCCGTATAATAATGTCTATCTATAATGCCAATAAAGGTATGAAAGCAAATGGATCCACAAATAGATGCTTACATTTTTCTTAGAGGCAATTTCAATCAACACTATATAATCTAGAAATTAATAATATGGCAATTATGGGGATTCGGAAGTTTTTCTTTTAATATATAACAAAATAGGATTGTGGAATAATCTCTGTGGGGCTTCGACAACCTCTAAGCAACTCAGTTACCTCAGCTAACTCTTGGGTAAATTTAAAGCCAAGTTTGAAGTTGACAATTTCATTTATCTTTATATTTCTTCCAGAAAATCAAATTGCTGAATAAGCACTATGGACATAAACCTTAAACCTATGGAAATAAACAATACACATATATACCCATAAGAATATATAAAAATATAAACATCTATTGCAAATCAACAATGTACTGATAATATTACTAAAAATATTATTTTCAGTCTTACAACATCAAGAAAAAGTAAAGTACTGGACTACCACTCATTTCTTTATAATTTGCTTCCAAGGAAACACATTTTCTTATGTATTTTTTTCCAAGTACTTTTGAACAGTAGTTCTTCAGTCTTTCGAAGGTCTTTCGAGAATTTTTCTTTCAATGTTGACTGCTTTGTACCTAACCAGTTTCAGAGGAAGCCACCTAACACTGACCTGTGAATTATTCACAGGAGCCTGAAAAACTATTCCTGAAGACCACTTAAAGAAATTATAAGAAAACTAGCCAAAGAGACTTCAGGCTTTGTTAAAGAATAAAGGTGGTCATACAAAATCTAGTCTTTCAGCCGTGCTAGAATTATACAAACTGTTTCTACCGTATACACTGTATTTCCATGTATCTTGTAACAAGTTTTGAAAAATTGCTGTACTTATTTCTCATTGTCCTTGCAAAATATTTTTTAAATGGCAGTTAGTGCAAGACTTTCGCACATTACTGTACATGAAGTTATTGATTTTCTCCATTTGTAAATTGTGATCTGATACATTTGCAGATTTGGTCTGCTCTGCTCTGGTGGTCTGTTCTGCTAAACATTCAGTTGTGTGTTTTGAGTCTATATTACATATTCTATGCATTTCTATCTTTGAGACTTTTCAGCTCTATGATCATAAGCCTTGTAAAATTTATTTTTGGAAGATATGGTTCAATCAGCAGGCATCTCTTGTGAATTAGACTTGAGGCTTGCTAACTCCTGACTTCAATTAGCCTTCATGTCATGTAAATATTTTCAAATCTATACTATGTAGATCTGTATGTAATGTGGACATGGATAGGATTTTGTCACTCACTTAATATCACCAACCTCTAAAGCCCATTTGAATAATACTGGACACTTTGTATTTAAGTACAAACAATTTTGGACTCGTTACTCAAGACGTACTTTAAACATGCATTAGAAAATATGTTTTGTCTATCAACTAAAAAGGTTCTTAGAAATAAATCTAGTAACCTGTCGATGCAAACTCATGTGAAATCACTCAAACCGAAAGAGGAGGAAAGAGCGACTTCTTGCTTTGTGCTTCTTTTTTTGGGGCAGCGTACTTTACAATAAGAGGCTATAATTCTGCAACAGGAACTTACTTAAAACTTTACAAGATGTTACAAGAGGAAAATTTTCTGTTCCATTTCTTGTCTATCACAGTTCCTCAAATTTCTTTGGTCTAATGTGCTTTTGAAGTTACTTTTGTGCTGTAAAGAAACACGCCTTCCGTAGAAATGGTTGTTACATAGCTTAAATTAAAACCGGTTACATATGTTAAGAATGAAAAAAAGTTATGTCAGGACATTTAAAGCATTTTTATTGTCTGTTACTTTTAAAAAAGAAACTGGAATCGTGCCGAGTGCCATTTTATATATATATATAATATATATGTATGAAGCGTTTAGAAAGTGTCGATGAGTGACAATATTTATCTGGATATTTCATGAACTGCACTAATGGGTTAATTTAATGTTGATTTTATTTATCAAATATCTAGTTATGTGATTTTGTGAATTTGCTACTGTAAACATACTGCCTAGTGCGGTTTTAACACCTCAGCACAGCCACTAAATATTCACTGATTTCTACAGTGCAGTTTTCCCAGCTGACTGCACAAAATAGATTTAAACATTTTTTTTGTGAGTCACTTTGAAAAGTAAGTAAGTAAAACTAAGCTGTTTTTCAACTAGTTAAAACTGAAAATTATTTCAACTGAATGGTACAGAAGGATGAGTCTTCTCATAACCTTTGACCCCAAAAGATAGCATCTAAGTGTTTAAGGAATGGCATGTCTGAAAGGAAACCCTGTCAAAAAGGATGTTTTCAGAAAATACAAAAATAAGTGACTTACAACTTTTTCACTGCTTCCATAATTTCAGGCAAAGTGTAACTAAAGGTGACATAAGAGTAAGTAGTCAAAAAAAAAAATTGAATTCATTACCATTATCAACCATTTCCTGCCTAGCATTTGTAGATGGGTTGTGACTTCTGACCTAGTGACAGTTGACAAGGCCCAGAATCCCTTGGGTTAGATAAACAAAGCCAGAGGTGTATACATAGTTTAACCTCCTTGACAACACTCACACCGTATGCAAATATTCCACTAAAGTGAACTTGCAAGGAGTTGTGTTACAGAGTGGCTCAATGCATAACATTGTTGACTCATGTTTGAAAAACTAACCTATAATTAGTGAGATTGACTTTAAATACATGATCGTTTATTTCAAAACATGAGGACTTGCGACATCGTACATTGCTCCTTTTGAGCATATCTTTCTTTATTAGATTTATACAGTTATAAGAGCACCCTCGCAAGAAAGTGTATCATTAAGTAAATGGTCCTTTTTTTGCTGTAGGTTATGGGACTCTGTTTATAATTAAATTCATTCATCAGTTCATTAACTTTCTTCCACTTACACAATGTTGGATCATGGCCGACAGCAGGCCGAAGAAGGTTACCCACCAATCCCTCTCACGATGAATATTTTCAGCACTTTCTGTGGGTGTTCTGTGAGTTTACATGCCCCCAAAAAACAATGATGGAAGTCTTTCATCTGGGATCTGCAACAGATGCCCACAGCTACTTTGAGCTCCTTCTGGGTGTCTGAGCTTCTCACACTGTTTCTGTATGGGGTACATTGCAAAGTCACTATTTTGG